ACGTCCACGCGCGTCCTTTCCACGGCCCATTTCCTGCTCTGTTTTTCCATCCGCTGTGCTTCCCGGCGAGTGATTTTTCTAAAGTGCTGTTCAGAGCACCCGAGCGGCTGCCGGGGGCTTGTGGGAGAAACACAGGCGGCAGGGGGGCCCCTGGGCCTGCGTCCCAGCGCTGATCGGCGCTAATGAATGAACACTCTGTATCAAAGCAGGTGTCTTCAGACAGAAACACAGAAAATCAGGTTCCGTATCGATCGGCTGATAAGAACATTGTCCCAGGGGCCCGGAGAAACCCAAGCCTGTATCTCCCTCCGAGCGGTGGCTCGTGCCACCGCCCCGCGTTCGCAGCGACGTCGGAAAACATAATTACTGCGAATGTCAGGAAGCATGTATTTCTCACCAGCCGCTGTGCCTCAGAGACGGTGGGGCGCGGAAACAACACTCGGGGCTACAATGTTATTTACAGCTCTCTGGGTTCTTCCCGGGCAGGAATGATACCCAAGGTGTCACCGCCCTTCTGCGGACGGAAGACGCATTCGGGAGACGCGAGGAGGAGGCAGGAGCGTTGGCGTCTCGCCAGACCTGCTGGGACGCCTCGTACAGGTTCTCTAACTTAATTCACACACACGTCTGGTAGGAGGCCCCAAGGACCCTCTGCCCGGTCACTGGGGATACGGCTGTGAACCAAAGACACAGACTCTGGCTCCTAGAGCCCACTTTCTGGGCAGAACACGACAAAAAGAAGGTCCATAAGCATAGCACGTACCGGTCAGACTTGGATAGACGTTTCTGAGGGAAATAAGGGCTGCTGGGCGGGGGCAGGGGTAGCTGTGATTTTACCATGGTGACCGGAGAAGATCTCACTGAGAAGACAACAATCGTGTGAAAGGTCTGAGAGACGGAGACCTTACAGGTAAGGAAACTGAGGCACGGACAGAGGCGGTGACCGCCAAGCGTTCTTGAAATCCGAGCCCAGTTCTGAATGTCGCCCGAGCACACAGCACTTGTCCCCGGGAAGGAGGTGGGCAGGGAGCATGTTCACGACATGAAGCTGGGGACGCGAGAACTCAGGGTGGCCCTCGTGCCTCTCGCTGCCAGCCCGGGAGGAGACACCGGCCTGCTCTCGAGGAGAAAAGACCAGGTGCCAGAGAGAGGTCCACTGATCTCAGAACCCACGAAGCCACGCTCCGTGGACCGAAACCCTCGGGTCGGGATGCTTTCCCCCTTCACGGCTGCACAGTGCGGAGACGACGCGGACGGTGGGGACATTTATGGGCGTCCCCATGGAGACTAGACCACACACACCCACGTATCCACCTCACACACGTTCTGTTCCACGGCGTTCTAGGTGGTCGATCCAAGCCCAGTCTGTTCTGTCCACGCGGTTCCCTCTCACCCCTGCTATTCTAAGGAGCTCACCTGCTTCGAATGGGCCAACACTTGCCACTGGAAAAACACCAGTGGGCGGTGCCACGGAGTCACATCTTCCGTGGTGCGTAGGCTTTCGATGTATCCTTGGAACAAATACTCAGAAAAGCATCCCGGCAGAGGATAAGAGAAACGCTCCTGGTTCCGTGAGGCCGGTGGCCTCTCCCTCCAGCTTCAGGGAAGGAGCTGTGTCCACGGTTCAACGGCCCTGGACGTCGGCAGGTTTCGGGGATCCATGCGGGAGAACCACCACGCATCTTCACAGAGCAAGCGCACACCACGGGAAGGGCGGCGGGACCGAGAGCCGCAAGGACAAAGCAGACGGAAGAAGTCCCGCGCTCACTGTGGGGCCTGTGGCGGGTCACTCTTACGTTTTCTGTCGTCCACGTGAAATGAGGTTAATACCCTTCACGCACTGGGTGTTCTCATCTGGGAAGTAGCATTCATTCCCCTGACAGACCTTTCGAACGCCTTCTGCGGTCTGAGCGCTGCTCTCGCTTCCAAAGCCTCCAAATAGCTTCACAATGAGACCGGACTTTTGTTAGTTGAGTCACACGCTGACACAGAAGCCCTGAGCGCCCTGCACCCTGTCCGAGGCGCCACGTTCGTGAATTTTCAGTCCCTGAATTCTATAAGCCCGTGTCCCTGACTTTCCCTTTTATAGGAACAAGTACCACATGATTCTGTTGGTGTTTCAGTCACTGTTTTATCCTAAGAGATATTCTGAAAGCTCCCCCTCACCCCCATCAAGGTCTTGCGCGAAATAGAGAAATTTTACTGTGAGCCAAGAAGAAAAGTTTCTGGCTCCCAGTGAAATGTTCCAGAACACATTCCATCAGCAGTTTCAGAACGTGGACCCGGAGACCCTCATAAATCAGAGGGAAAGACCGTCTTCCGCCACGCACCTGGTCACTCTGAGCCCGGGACATAATTAGGGCAGGCGACTGCGTATGTCTCCGCTTCGCCTCCTTCTGAAAGCCCATCCCTGGGGACTTCAGACGGTCTCGCAACGACGGCGGCTTCCTGAGGACGAGCCCCGTGAAGTCAGCGAGATCGTCCTAGCTTTCCCCAAAGGGCACACGCAGAGCAGAACTCGGCTAACCCGGGCTTCCGACCCGGAACGGGATCCAAACTCCTGGTGGCCGCCGAGGCCCAGCACCACCTGGCCTTCGCCGGGTTCTGCAAACCCACCTTCTGAACCTCCCCGTTGCTCCCTGCACTCCAGACCCCGCGGTCATCACTGTCTTCCCTGGACACACCTGAGATGCCTCACCCGAGTGGTTCATGCCTCAGATCCATCCATCACTTCTCCTGGGATCACACACGCACACTCACATACGCATGCACACACACGCACATGCACACACACACACATGCACACACATGCGCACACACGTGCACACGCACATGCACACGCGTGCGCACACACGTACACACACATGCACACACACTCTTCATTAAGGGCTGCCTCCCCCACATCAGTAGAGTCTCGGCTTCTTTGCATGTTACCTTCTCAGCACGTGACACTCTGATTCCCATCAAGTGGCTTTCACTGTGGACTGAGTAGCTCAAGGGAGAAATTCAGCAGCGAGCGGCTTTGTAAACGCGCCCTCCCCATCTCTCAGAGAGGAAGCCCCCCTCCCCCCTCCTCTGGTTGCCAGTCCCCGGTAATCACGCACACGTCCTCCCTCCCGTTCGCATTTTGTTTACGAAGCTTTTCCGTCAGCTTCCTTCCCAGCCCACGCTTCCGCTTCCATTCTTCTTATTTTAACTTATTTAATCTTCCTGTCTTGTCAGCATCTTTGTAAGTCTCTTTTTCTTGAGCAAGAGGGAGCACGCGAGATTAATAAATGGGCATTCAGATGTTTATTGAGCAAAGGCGTAGGGAGCACGTGACCAATTTGGCTGGGAATAATTGCTCGTATACATCTTCGTCAGATTTTGTCACCCGCGAATGTAACCTCTCGGCGCGCTCTGGTGTGCGTTTCGTCTTGCGATCTCTCTCCTCTCGGTCCCCGTCTCTCCCCCGCCCTGGAGTGTAATTTATAACCTGAGTGGACGTCGAGATGCTTCTTGTACATGCAACAGTCCTGCAACCAGCTCTCAAGTGCCCGGAGCACACACGCGGGGACTGAAAGTCGTTGAACTGTATCCTCACGTGAGTGACTTTTAGGAGATGTCAACTGTACTTCAATAAGGTTGGTTAAAGGGGGACAAGGAGGGAGAGAGACCAGCCGATGGGCCTTACGACCTGTCACCTGGACATTCCCAATGGGAAGATCGGGTCTCTCCCTCCCCCTAGCCAATGAAAAGCCAGGATGGCTGTGATTGGTTGAATCTGTGTCACTTGCCCATCTCTGGACCAATCACTTTAGCCGGAGAGATGCAGGCTGTGATTGACAGTCTTGGATCACTGAGCCAAGACTAGGTCAGCTGCATAGATGGAGTGAGGGGGGGACGGTCCCCGGAAGAAAATCCAGGTGCTGCTCACAAAAAAAAGGGGGATAGATCGTAAATAGGCTCTTTTGCCGAAACAAGAACGCGACGGTCCCTTGACCCTGCCCACAGCTCAGTCGATGGCCCCTTCTTCCGAGAGGCTCCCGCTGGACCACGCTGGGCGCCGTCTCGTCCTTGCTGGGACGCGGTCCAAGTCAGCAGCTCGCCCTGATCACACCTGCGCCTCCAGCAAGGCACCGTTAGCTCCCCTGCCACAGCCCAGCCAGGCCCGTCCGGTGGCCCAAAGGGAGCGGTTTCAGCTCATCAGGCACACGTCAGGTGACGGGTGCAGAGAGGTGTGGGTTCTCCCGCACTGCCGGGGTGCGCGGCGTCGTGCCAGCCGGGCACCTGCCACTCTGAGCCTGGGCTCCCCAGACGGTACACGGTGGATACTGAACGGGGTGAAAAGCTTCAGTGAAGGAAAACCCTTTAACAACTGTGAGCCTGCCCGGCCAGTGTGGCTCAGCGGTTGAGCGTCGACCCTGCACCACGAGGTCGCCGGTTCGATTCCCGCTCAGGGCACATGCCCAGGTTGTGGGCCCGATCCCCAGCGGGGGGCGTGCAGGAGGCGGCCAGTTGATGTCCTCTCTCATCGATGCATCGATGTTTCTATCTCCCTCCCTCTCCCTTCCTCTCTCTAAAATCAATAACAGAATTTTTTTTTTTAAATGTGAACCCAATCAGGAATAAACAGAGCCTAGCACCCAACTCTCGATTTTCAACCCAAACTAGTGCACGGGGTAGAGAGTCGGCAGGAAAACGGCCCCCACCACCACCCCTCCCAGTACTAAGACCCTAACTGGACGGCCCAGGCGGCCAAACCACAGAGAGAACCAGAGGCAGGGAAGGGGCTCAGGTCCGTGTTTTGGTAAAAACTCCACGGAGGCAGTTAGAACCCACGGGTGGAGTGGGATGTGGATCGAGAGGCCAATGGCTGATCTGAAGAGGTTGCCGGCCTTGAGCTGGAACAGGACTCAGGAACGGATTAAGTGGATAAACCACCAGACAGATGGAGGAGAGAGAAAGCTCTTTCTTAGGGAAAAAGACAGAAAAAGGTGGAAGGCAGGCGAGAGGCTGACCCTGGAAACTCGGCCGAAGTTCGAAGTCCGCCGCCACCACGGTGACCACGGGGGAGAAGTGACCACCTTTTCGGGCAAACGGCATCCACAGGGGAGAACACGGACAGGGAACAGTTCGAGGAAGGACAAGATCTTTCCGTAGTTTTGACGAATTTCCCAAGAAAACACGTCTCAGGGACAAAGGGACACCCGGGGACTTCCCAGCGGAAAAAACCTGGCAGGTAAGCGATCACCCCGCCGGGAGGGGACAGGAGGACAGCGAACACCTCCTGGAGAGACGCGCTGAGGACACACCCCGCGTGTGGCGTCCGCCAACAGAGCCCAACCTGCGTCCAAGCACGAAGAAGGAGCCACCGCACAGGGCGCACCGGGGAGTGGCCGCCGGGCCCTTCTGACGTGGGAGACTGTGCGTGGGGAAGACCCAGGACCCGCTCTGGGTTAGAGAACGAGGGACCGACCGTCACGATTCAAGGCAACCCTTCCTCCGGGCCTCTCCTGGGCTGGAAAAGCGACTGCTGGGACAGCCGGAGAGATCCGAGTGAGCCCCGCAGGGTGACCGCGACGTGACCTCAGCGGTCATTTCCTGACTGGGGTCGTACGGGATGACGTAAGACAACGCCTCTGCTTTGCGGGCATTTGGTGGGAAGCAGCGTTATGCCCTCAGAACGCCCTCCAGTGGTTGCGAAAAAAATGTGGGTGGCATGTATATTTTACATCTGACGTGTGTGTCTATTGAGACACCCGTGCATGTGGAGACAGAGACACGCACATGCATTTGGGGGTGTATCGGATTCTTTGCGTATCCCACGACTCTTCTGTAAGTCTGATATGATGTCAAAGTAAATATTTCTTTAAAAAGAGAGAGAGAAAGCAGATAAATGCCCAGGCGGGGAATACCAGGAAGCGGAACAAAACAATGGAATTAGGGAAGAGGGGGTGCGAGAGGGATCAGAACGGTTGCGCCTGCAGGGCGTGGTGACCGCGGGAGGCGGGCGCGGTGTGGCGGTGACCTCGAGGTTTCCGGTGCGGCTCACGAGCGAATGTCACTGTCCAGGGCGGGAGCAGCGTCTGCCGAGAAGATGCCGAGCTGGGCCTGTGTAATGGGGCTGCGTTAACTCAGACACAGCATCGTTCTCCAATCCTTTGGGGCGGGAGGAGGGGGACACAGGGACAGCCACCTAGATTAAGCGGCTAAAATCAACCCACCAGGAAAGCTAGTGTTCTCCCCTAAAGACGGCCAGTTGGCATGACGAGCCCAGGACAGAGGACGTACATATGTAGCATCTGGAGAGAGCCCTGCTCAGGGGCTGCACCCCAGGGGGGGGACACGGGTCCCCCGTTCCTGCCACAGACCAGCGTTCTTTCCAAAACCCTCAGGAATCAGACCTTGTGGGCCTCTCCAAATGCGTAGCTCCCTCCTGTCCTGGCCACTCTGCGAGTCCCAGTCTTTCTGTATGGCCCATGGGTGTTTCTCCCCTCGTGCCTCAGGGCCTTTGCACATCCTGCGTTTCCGTCCGGAATACCCATGACGGGCTGCCTGGCTTCCCTGGGGTCTCGGCTTCAACGTCTCCTCTGCAGCAAGCCCTTCGCCCACACCACGCGAAGGAGCTTTGAACCCGAGCCCCTCTCTAGGTGCCTCTGCCGCAGCACCTCTGGTCTCCTTCCTGCTGCCTCACCTGGGCCCTCGACGAACGTGCCAATGCTCTGTCTCTGTCGGCAGAAGCACCACGCAGGACCCCCCCTTGCTTCTCCAGAGGACGTCCCCATTCCGTAAGGCAGTACCCACCCATCGTAGGTGCCGAATACATGCACATTAAATACACAAAGCTGGCCGGGGTCTTAGAACACGTCTAGCGTGATCGGCGAATTTCGCAGATGAGGATTCTGAGATCCAGAAGGAGGGGCACCCCCAGATTCTCCCATGGGGCCGCCCTGCTGCATGCCAGAGGCTGGAACAGGCCACCGAGGGACACACAGGCTGCTTCATGCCCCGCTCTCCAGGAGGTGGGACAGTTGGGGGAGACCGGGGACACCCTGGCGGGCTGGGGAGCTGGACGGTCATAAAGTGCGACTGCTTGTTCTGGGGACACACTGGTGTCTCTTCCCCCGCAGGACGGCAGAGGGGAGCCGGTGAGGTCGCCCTGTGCACTTGCCCAGCGGAGGGGTGAGAACGGTCTGCACCCCTCTACCCCCTTCCTCCAGGCTGGCGGGAGGCTGCAGGGCCGGGGCGCCCCCAGGAGAGGCACACCCAGGAGGACAGGGGTGAGGCCATCAGGAGAACTGGGCCCCACGAGGAGAGGACCCCGGCACCCTTCGCGGGAGGGCGGAGGGCCCCCAGTCAGGAGCTCACATCCACATCGCGGCTCTGTGCGCTCGGTATTCAGGGCGCCCTCCCAAACACTGTCTCTGCAACAAAGCGGGTAATGTGTTTCATCTGGGCCCCGGGTCCAGCTGAGTTCACAGCCGTGGGAGGCTCTCAGACCTCACATTTGATCAAAATGAAAAAGTGGTCCTTCCCTTTCACCGCGTGACAGGCCTTCACGTATAAATCACAGCCCTCCCGGGCCGGCCTGGCCACCTCCGTCCCCATCTGCACAAAGGGGGCTGGGCTTTTAAAGACGCCTTGTGAAAAGGAGACTCAGACACCATGCGGGGGGCGCGGGGGGCGGGGGAGGCCGTCCGGGAGATTTGCATTTTATTTGGTGTGAGAGCTCAATGGGAATCACAGTCCCTGCTCACATGGCGCTCCGGAACCCCGTGGCTCTCTCGGGGGGCACGCAGACATGTCTGGGTCTCAGACACCATTTGGTTTCGGGTTACGAGAAAAGACGACCGAAGGGTGTGGATTTGGTGGGCAAGAGCAATAAGGTTGATGATAACGCTGATCTTGGAATTGGCAAAGTCGCTGCCCTGGCCGGTTTGGCTCAGCGGTTGGAGCGTCAGCCCGCGGACCCAGGTTCGGTTCCCGCTAAGGGCACGTACCTGGGTTGCAGTTCGTCCCCGGTCCCGGCTGGGGTCACATAGGTGGCAACCAGTCGATGTGTCTCTCTCATGTCGATGTGTCTCTCTCTTCCTCCCTCTCTCCCTCCCGCTCTATCTGAAGATAAATGCAAAAATGTCCTTGGGAGAGGATAAAAACATAAATAAATTAGCAAAGTCACTTATTAACTAAGAGCGAAGATGGACGCTCCGTGGGTAAACTAGTGACGGTGCGATGGAATCCTGTGGTAAGAATGAGACCTGGGGGACAGGTAGCAATTGCATTCAGTATTCACGCGAAGCTACCCAAACGTCCAAACACCTGGCCACCGGGTCTCCTGAACGCTTCCCAGCCTCGGCCAGACACAGGCTCCGTGGAGCACGGCGTGGCTCAAGGCACGCGATGTGATGAGGTGGTACGGGTGTACGTGGAGACATGGTCACGGCGACAGGTTAGTCCACCATCCCTCACGGAACTGTTGCAGCTTCTACGACCTGTTCTCAGAAACCTTCAAGCGTATCACTCAACACAGTTAACGCGAGTCCTCACGCTGTCATTCAGCTTGGGGGGGGGGGGGTGGCTCCGTCCGCCCTTTGCCCAAGGTCTCCCCATTTCCCCCGCTCCCTAAGCCCTGCAACCACTGCCTACTCTGTTGCTGTGAGTTCGATGGTTTGAGATGCCACACATACGTGAGATCATATGGTGTTTCTCCGTCAGACTTAGTTCACTGAGCACAGTGCCCTCAAGGTCCATCCGTGTGGTTGCAAACGGCAGGATTTCCTTCTTTCTTTCTTTTTTAAATGCGTTTTCATTGTTTTGCTTTTGTTTTAGAGAGAGAGGAAGGGAGAGAAAGATAGAAACATCCATGTGAGAGAGAAACATCGATGGTCTGCCTCCTGCACGTCCCCACTGGGGATCGAGCCTGCAACCCGGGCATGTGCCCTGACTGGGAATCGGCCGGGACCTCTCAGTCCGTGGGACAACGCTCAACCCACTGAGCCGCGCCGGCCGGACAAGAAGGCTCCCTGTGGCTGAATGCAGTTCACGGCAGACGCACCTTCTTCGTCCATCCGTCCGTCGATGGACAGGTGGTTTCCGTAGCTCGGCTACTGGGGACACGCTGCCGTGAACATGGCGAGGGGCGGTCCGGGCTCTCTGAGGTCGTAGTTTCATTTCCGTCAGCGTCTAGCTGGAGGATATGAAGTCTTCTGAATTCTGAACCCTATGTTGTGGGAAGTGTGATCATCCTATTTTACAGATGAGGTGAAGAGATGGAAAACCTTGTCCGTCACTCTGGCCGGTTTGGCTCGGCGGTCAGAGCATCGGCCCGCAGACCAAAGGGTTGCGGGTTTGATTCCGGTCAAGGGCACGTGCCTGGGTTTGCAGGTTCGATCCTGGCCCTGGTGGTGGGAGGCGGGCAATCGATGTGTCTCTCACATGGATGTTTCTCCCTCCCTCCCTCTCTCCCACTTTCTCTGAAAATCAATGGAAAAATATCCTCGGGCTGGGATTAACAAACAACATAAACCTGCCCCTGACCGGGCAGCCACGCGAGGGGCAGACCTGAGACAGGAACCCAGCGGTGTGGACCCCCACGGCCGCCCCCTGAGAGGAGCCGCCTCCACCGTCCAGCTCCCCCTCCCGCTCCGCCCCCGTGGGCTTGTTTCGAGGCGGGAGCTGGCCAGGGCTTACTCCACGGGAGGGGGCCGACGTGTGACGGGGGGGCAGCAGGCTCTGACAGGGCCTTTCTCTTGGAAAAGCTCTGAAAATAATTACATTCGATTTGCCTTTTAACAGCGTGGAGGTTTTAATTAAAACCATGTACTCACCCTCGGAGCAGAGGATGAAATGTTACTCAGAGAAAACGGCGACTTCATTCCTGGGACTCTCAGGACGCCTGTTTTACCTCCTTGGGCGGCTCGGTCGGGAAAGACGCCCCGGCTGAGTGCGCCCCATCACGGTCCCAGGGCGCCCTCAGACACGCAGTCACTCTCCTGTTTTCCCGTCTTCGGAGGAGAGCTGGGGAGCCCCACGGGCTGTGTTCGCAGCCGTTTGGGAGCTCACCCCGAAATAACAGTCATCATTTTCGTGGGTTTCAGGGAAGT